GTAAGTTTTGTGAATGACGGGGTAAGATGAGTGAATGACGGAGTAAGTTTTGTGAATGACTGAGTAAGGTGAGTGAATGACTGACTAAGTTGAGTGAATGACTGAGTAAGTTGTTAACTATTGAATAAGTACAGTCAATGACAGAGTAAGCTAAGTGAATGATTTGCATGAGTGAATGATTGGTTAAGTTGATTGTTTGATTAAGTAGACTAATTCAGTGAGCAAGTTGTGTGAATGATTGAGTGTAGCAACCAAACCACCAAACCAAAGTTACAGTCGACACCTGGCCCCCTTACCTTCATATGAACTGAATGGTTTTATCATGACTACTTGGAATCTTTCACAGTGAAAGTGGATAGAAATGTCTGTGAAGTCCAAAAATGCCCCAGGTACACAGTCACTTGATATGTGCATGCAATATATATAACCATTTCCCAATTTCCTTTAAGTTTTTTAAATGCGTGCAAATATACATGAAAAACCCAATAGTGGACGAATATTGGGCATAAATTAGCCATTGCATCATTTTAAGTCTGGATTTCCGTATTTCTTTACAGATGCTTTCTGCAGATCGAATAAAGGCATCATGCATAAAAAAGTAACCCGAAACAGCATCCAAAGCAGAATTATTGTTTAAAAAGGTCTACCCGTACTCATTGGTTCAAAGAAGTAAAAATATGTTGAATACCCAAAGAGAACTATCAATACCCAATATGAATGATAATGTGAGTGAATACCCAATTGCCCCAAACATGTATCTGGAGCACTAGTACATATTGGAAGTTTTATGGTAGTGGTGCATTTCCTCCATTAAACGCCATAACGTTTACTTAGTTCAGACATTCTTTAACCCCGGCGTTTATAATATTATTTAATTATTTCTTCAGACCCATCTTCGTAGTTTAAACGTTTTTTAAAATGCTTCTGTAGTTGACATACTATGCGTTGATAATTCCATGCTTACAAACTACCCGGTGGCATTAAATCGAAACCTGGCGTTTATTGTTTCAAGATAGTCCGTACCCCAACGTTTTGTCAAGGACTGTGTTTAATCGAGGAATTACGGTAACCTGCATCCATCCAGGCTATTGAACAAAACCGTGTTATGAGAGGTCATTACTTACTTCCAACATACTTCAGACTTACTTACTTACTTACTTACTTACTTACTTACTTACTTACTTACTTACTTACTTACTTACTTACTTACTTACTTACTTACTTACTTACTTACTTACTTACTTACTTACTTACTTACTTACTTACTTACTTACTTACTTACTTACTTACTTACTTACTTACTTACTTACTTACTAATAGATCTTGATAGACCCCAGCTATCTGGTACATGTCACATCTATTGTTAAAGCCAGTCGTCTGTCAACTGTGTAAACAGATGCTTCTGAATAACACAGCAGCCTACTTATCACTCCATGAGCTTTTCATTTTGAATAAAGGAAACATTCCACTATTTCCACGAGGTCATACACATACACAGGTACGGTTTTGTGAACGAATGTAACCGAGTCCCGCTCAATAGTTATGAATGGCTCGGCAGTAGGTAAATATAAAAGCTCTGCTCACATCGTCACATCGTTTAAGTTTCATTTCACATGCAACCATGCAGGCTGATGTTTGGAAAGTTTATTTGTATGATATTTATTTTAATTCAAAACACCCAGCCTCCATCGCACTCAACGGTATGTATTGGTGCTTGTGTGTCATCGCACTCAACAGTGTGTATCGGTGCCTGTGTGTCATCGCACTCAAAAAGTGTGTTTCGCTACTTGTGCTGTCAATCATTGGTTTGTGTTTGTTGTTTGACGCCGCAATCAGCTGTAGTCAAGCTATATGACGGCGGACCGCCTCCGTGGTCTAGTGGTAGAGCGTGCGCCCGGAGAGCGGAAGGTTCGGGGTTCGATCCCCGGCCGGGTCAAACCAAAAGACGTTCAAAGATGGTACTTGTTGTTACCCTGTCTGGCGCTCGGAATTAATAGGCTAAAACAAGGACTGGTCGGCTCGGAGCCAGTATACTGTGTCTGAGTGGGGTATTCATGTTAAACTGCGGCACGGTATCTCAGTGAGCTAGCACTATAAATCTGCATCAGTCCGGACTAGTACAAGCAGCCACGCACACACACACACACACACACACACACACACACACACACACACACACACACACACACACACACACACACACACACACACACACACACACACACACACACACACACACACACACACACACACACACACACACACACACACACACACACATGCACGTCGCTATGTAAGTGCAATAATCTTGGACGCGACGCTAAACCCCATTTCACCTTTCCTATATGACGGCGAATCAAGTGTGGACAAAGCAATCCAGTGAATGGTATTCTGAGCAGTGTGTAACAGTGCTTGTGTGACAGCGCACCCCAACACTGTATCGGGGCTCGTGTGTCATCGCACCCCAACAGTGTGTGTCAATGCTTGTGTCATCACGCCCCAAGATTGAGTATTGGTGCTTGTGTGTCATCACACCCCAACACTGTATCAGTGCTCGTGTGTCATCGCACCCCAACAGTGTGTGTCAATGCTTGTGTCATCACGCCCCAAGATTGAGTATTGGTGCTTGTGTGTCATCACACCCCAACACTGTATCAGTGCTCGTGTGTCATCGCACCCCAACAGTGTGTGTCAATGCTTGTGTCATCACGCCCCAAGATTGAGTATTGGTGCTTGTGTGTCATCACACCCCAACACTGTATCAGTGCTCGTGTGTCATCGCACCATAACAGTGTGTGTCAATGCTTGTGTCATCATGACCCAAAATTGAGTAATGGAGCTTGCTAGTCATCGAACCCAAACAGTGTGTATCCGTGATTGTGTGTCATCGCATCCCGAACAATGTGTACTGGTGCTTGTGTGTCATCACACCCTAACAGTGTGTATCCGTGATTGTGTGTCATCGCATCCCAACAATGTGTATTGGTGCTTGTGTGTCATCACACCCTAACAGTGTCTATCCGTGATTGTGTGTCATCGCATCCCAACAATCATGTGTACTGGTGCTTGTGTGTCATCGCACCTTAACAGTGTGTATCCGTGATTGTGTGTCATCGCATCCCAACAATATGTATTGGTGCTTGTGTGTCATCGCACACAACAGTGTGTATTCGTGATTGTGTGTCATCGCATCCCAACATTGTGTATTGGTGCTTGTGTGTCATCGCACCCTAACAGTGTGTATCCATGATTGTGTGTCATCGCATCCCAACAATGTGTATTGGTGCTTGTGTGTCATCACACCCTAACAGTGTGTATCCATGATTGTGTGTCATCGCATCCCAACAATGTGTACTGGTGCTTGTGTGTCATCGCACTCAACAGTGTGTATCCGTGATTGTGTGTCATCGCATCCCAACAATGTGTATTGGTGCTTGTGTGTCATCGCACCTTAACAGTGTGTATCCGTGATTGTGTGTCATCGCATCCCAACATTGTGTATTGGTGCTTGTGTGTCATCGCACCCTAACAGTGTGTATCCATGATTGTGTGTCATCGCATCCCAACAATATGTATTGGTGCTTGTGTGTCATCGCACACAACAGTGTGTATTCGTGATTGTGTGTCATCGCATCCCAACAATGTGTATTGGTGCTTGTGTGTCATCACACCCCAACACTGTATCGGTGCTTGTGTGTCATCACACCCTAACAGTGTGTATCCATGATTGTGTGTCTTGGCATCCCAACAATGTGTACTGGTGCTTGTGTGTCATCGCACTCAACAGTGTGTATCCGTGATTGTGTGTGTGTGTGTGTGTGTGTGTGTGTGTGTGTGTGTGTGTGTGTGTGTGTGTGTGTGTGTGTGTGTGTGTGTGTGTGTGTGTGTGTGTGTGTGTGTGTGTGTGTGTGTGTGTGTTTTGCCATATGCCGTAGTGAATGATATTGTGAGCAACTAGCCTTTCCGAAGTTAACGATGACATGTCATCAACCAAGTCGCCAAGCCTGACCACCCAATCCATTAAATCCTCTCTAACAACCAGCATTAACGAGCACAGGGTCAGTTCTAACACTGAATCTGCTGAGGCGCAATCACTGGTCGACATATACCACTGATCATATTATCAACTGCTGGAATAATACTGACTGTAGCGTAAAACAACATTCACTCACACATCAAACAGACCCGATGATTCCAGTTGTACATGTTTAATACGTATCGCAATCTGCATAATTATCTCTATCGGGAATATAGGTAAATTAAATAAATTTGTCTTTAAAATATTCAACTTTTCGGATCAAACTGATTATCCGTTACCACTGTGTTCTGCTTCAAAAACACTTTCTGTAGAAAAGATCATGTATAGTTCAACGTGGATAAATAAATATCAACAAATATAAATAAATGCATATGGGAAAATATCAGACTTCATATGTGCATTAACTTACATACAGTATTATGCATGGAGAAATAACTTTGGTATACAATCAAATTAAATAAATTTGTATTTAAAATATTCAACTTTCAAATCAAACATGTCAGTTTCTGATCCTTTGTTACCACTGTTCCGCTTCAAGAAGTAGTTCTACAGAAATCCTCCTGTGACGTTCAGCATGGATAGGCAGAAATTCCAATCAAATAGTTTCTTCATACTAATGAATGCATATGGGAAATTATCATGGAGAAGTATGAGACAGCTTGATATCTCATAGCCCTTAGAATGGGTGACAATGGTCGCACAGGAAGCTGGAAAACCAACTTTGGCAGTGGGTGTCAGGAATTGAAACAAACGACGTACAGTAAACTACGGTTATAACGAACTCAAAGGGACTACTAATTTTAGTTCGTTATAACCGTAGTTCGTTATAAGCATATATACAGCATAACTACAGCAAATAGTCGGGACCAAAAAAGTAAGTTCGTTACATCCGTCAGTTCGTTATAAGCGTGTTCGTTATAACCGTAGTTTACTGTATTTCGACTGACAAAATCACATAGGCGGATCCAGGGGGCTATTTTGTATTTTGGACCCCCTCCCCTTAGAAAAAATGCTAGTTCCGCCCTTGGGTCACACGCTTTACAATGACATAAAATTTTAGAAATGCATCGTCGATTGAAAATGACCATTACTTACGAAAGTATGGCTCGCTGAATTAACGGCGTTTTCGGCCTCAGTGCAGCATACTCCAGTCATGTAAAAGGCTATTGAATGAACTGTTGTACTTCACTTCATGACACTCTTCAATTCAGCAAACGAAGAGTTAGTATGTTCAAGGGAAACACCACAATTGTTCGAACTAGTTCATCTCAACGATATGATATTACTACGATTTACCTTATTGCATTGATGGGTTCTTAAAGCTTCTCACTAGCATGTATTGTACTATTACACTGTCGCCATATGACATAGATGCTGCTGATGTGACGACATATTAAACATGAGTATGAAAGTGACCACTCTTCACAACTGATGCTATGGACCATAAGTTGATTTGTAGGTTTTGAAGTTCATATGTTGCCCAGCCAATTCATTTATTTCCTCAAGTCTTCAATCGTGGTCCCCTCAAACCAAACGTCAAGTGGTTTCAGGTTGGTGAATTTGATGTAGTTTCTGAAAATAAAGAAAACCAGAAATCAGATTCTGCTCAACTGTGGTTCTGTGTGTGACAACTGCCCACCCTAATACTGACCTAGGTCTCGGGATGTGTGTCGTGGTGTAGATATAGCAGTAAATGTCTATGTTGTGTCAATGCAACTTTATGAATGTCGATACTAAATAAATAATTCACTGACTGACACATAAATGTCATTAGACTACCATGGCTAAGATGGACAATTGAGGATGCAGAAACTTCAATGGACTCACTCGCCAACAAGGCTTCATATTTACATCCTCTCGTGATAGATATTTCATTGTAATTCAACATGTCGAATATGGAGTTTTCATGTATCGTATTGTGTAAGATATCTGTTGTAGTCTAGAGAAGTTGATCGTCACATCCCCTAGCCGTAAGCAGTGGCCACGTGTTGCCTTGATTTACAACAAGCATAAAGTACAGCGATTTATTCTTCCTCAGAACACTAACCATATTTTTATGCACACATTTGCTGAAATACTTCAAAACGGAACCAAGTAATATTTCTAACCTTTTTGGGTCAATACCAAGCTTTTGTTGCAGGAATTCTGAAATGTCTTTGGACATCTGAATGTTTTCCTCATTCCCCATGTGTCCGATACTCTGCAGCTCGGAGTTGGCACATGGATCAGTCGTACCCCCGTGGCTCATCATCTGATCTGGATGAATCCTCACCGTCACATACTGAAATATACTTGAGTAAGTGAGTTATAAAGTTGAGTGAAAGACTTTTGAATGATTGAGTGAGTTGAGTAAATGATTGAGTAGGCAGAGAGAACCATTCAGATGAGGAAATGACTGAGTAAGCTGAGCAAATATTTGAGTGAGATGAGTGAACAATTAAACAATTAGAGTGAATGACTGAGGGAATCATTTAGTAAGTCTCGCAGTTGATGAGGTTAGTGATTGAGGAAGTTGAGTTAATGATTGAGTGGGCTGAGCGAATGTTTTAGTAAGCTGAGTAAATGATTCATATAGAAGACGCAATGATTCAGTAAGTTCACGAATTAAGTGAATGATGAAGTTGAGTAAATGATTGAGTAGGTTGGGTGAATGATTGAGTTTGGTGAATGAATGTGTGTACCTACCAAACATACACTCATTTGAAAACAGGATGAACCATTTACATGCAGTCGATGCCTTGCTTCTTCACCTTACATATCAAATTAATTATTTGTAATGACTACTGGTCATCTTTCACAGTCAAAAGAAGTGTGTCCAGGAATCCCCCAGGGTACTCCACAGCTGCATAAAATAAGCACACTATGTCACCGTTACCCAGTCACTTTTGAGTTCTTCAAATGTTTACAGATCAGTGAGATGGAAACCCTACAGCGCTACTTTGCACGACGAGTCCAAAACCTTCACAGGAGATCCTCTACAGCTGCTACAACTCAGGTTCTAGGATTATGGTCAATGCTGGGCAAGGTGAAGAAAATGAAGCTTCTCTTTCTGGGACGACTCTGTAGAGCAGCAGGCACAACCATTGTGAAGCCGATTTTCTATCTCAGATTATTCCAGTATATCACCACTCTCTGACACAGTACCAGATCCATAACACATGATCTACTGAATGTGGCTCAAAAGTATGGATTCTCAGGCGTCTTAGATAAACTAATCAACTCTGGGGAATTTCCACCTAAAAGTGTATGGAAAAGCATGGTACAACGAGCTATTAGTGAGTCTGAAAATATGAATTGGAGAAATACTTTGCAACAGCGTCCAGACATGCATAGGTTTAGTGCTATCCACACCCGCCTTGCCCCACATCGTCTCTAGTCTCTGTGTGTATGGTATGATATTGCTTCCCCCCTGTATATGCTCTTGTAAGGCTCGGCATATTACCTGTAACGTCAGGATTGTGTCTTATCTGTAACTGTGAATGTGATGGCATTGTTAAGCACCAATTGTTTTACTGGATGGCCTAATGAAACAGAGAAATGTGCTTAGTGAGTCTCTACTTGACAATGTCAGCCTTGACACCTGTCTCAGACTTGAGGACACGTCTAGTGATAACGTCAAGCTTCTGACACGTTCCTGTGGTCCAGGACATGACACTTGACAGCTGGGCAACATTCATGAGTATCGTGGCTAAACATGTCAGCTCATGGAACTTAACATCCATATTGTATTTGTGAAGCTATGTCACACATCATGTAAATATAGTTTCACGCATCACTTCATTACTGCTTACCCAGCTCAATCTGTTGTATTTATATGTATTTTGTCATTGCCGTTGTCAAATTATGTAATGTAATTGTATGTACTACTCTCCAAAGCTTGGGGGAAATAAAGAGTATTCATTCATTTATCACCCCTCAAGAATGCAACCACACAATATTGACATGGGTTGGCATGTTTTGTGAATTTGCATGAAATACTTGTTCGTATGTGTACGTCGAACTGTGACTGAACAGAAACTTAATTGTCTCACACGTCTGGTAGTCTTCGTGGTGTTGATAAAACACGAGAAAGTTTGAAATATTTTATTGATGAATTAATAACTATTCTTGGTAGCACCTATACATGTCAATCATGCCAGTACGTGTACGAGCATATTGTACTACAAGAAAATAGAGTTGCAAATTAAAGCTACATATAGGCATCCAAATAAAATGTTGAAAAGTGTTTTGAGCACAGTGAAAAAGTCCTAACAGTCACTTCATTTACTATATGTACTCTCCAGTAGGTCGTGAAACTCAACCGTCATATAACAGGCGGTCTAAATCTTTGTTTAACAAGCGGCATTCCCCATACCTAAGAAATGTATCGCAGAGTGGAGATGGAACATTTTCCATTCAAGTGTAGAATCTGTAAGACAGAGTTCAATTCCTCATTATGAACGATTTTGCTATTTCCGTGGCTCCAAAAAGTAGATATATATTTAATATGAATACCATGTTACGTTTATATGTGAATACTATGCCACTATAGGAAGAAAGTACCTCCCGCCATATTACACTGAATCTCCTCTGATGAAATTCACCCAGCTAATGCAAACAGGTGCACGTGATAATCTTGTTGTTCATAATATGGATGTGTTCTTAGACAAAGCCTACATATATATACTGTTATACACTTTACTCCGTCATGTGTGATTTAGGATATGTCAATGTGTTATGGGCAGGTGACCTGTTACTGAATAAATTGTCTGCCTGTCTCAGTACGAAGTGCGTATTTTATACTGATAGTCTTGTAAAAACAAACGAGTGGGCACGGGTGGCCCAGTCGTCTAAGGCGCCGCGATTCGCTGTGCAGAGTTGCGTCCCTTGGTGACGCCAGAAACCTATGAATGGGTTCGAATCCCGGTTCGTCCCAATCATGTTTTCTAGGTTTGTCAGCACCATACCCGTGCTCGTGGGTTTCACCGAAGTGGTAAACGTCTGGGACCTGCATCAAAGAGAGAGAGTGTGTCGCAATCAGTGTGTTAACCTGTGTTGTTGGTATGATTGAGTGTGTCTGAGCATTTCCTAATAACACAATCTACTCCCGACAAGCTTCTCCGGAACAACGATGACTCATTGTTCACGAAGTGTGTGACCTTTAATATGATGAAACACTCCATTAGAGAAATGTAAATAAAAATCCTCAATACGGTCACTCTGTAAATTTAAAATATCTTTGCACAATTTAAAAATAAACTTTCTGAGAAAAGGATCCGTTGTACAGGAGTTTGTGTACAGATTGTGATTGTGATTAAATGTAAGATGCGTATCATATTATATTTAATTGTAAAACAAATACCTGTTGTTACGAAATAAGTATTTACCAAATACTGCTCGTCCTTATAATGTAAATAAGTGAGTGAGTGAGTGAGTTGGGTTTAACGCCGCTTTTAACAGTATTCCAGTTATATCACGGCGTGTCAGCTTAATGTGGGAGGAAAGCCCGAAGTGATGCAGGTCTCAGACGTTTACCACTTCGATGAAACCCACGAGCACGGGTATGGTGATGACAAACCTAGAAACATAATCGGGGCGAACCGGGAATCGAACCCACAATTATAGGTTTCTGGCGCCTTAGGCGACTGGGCCACCCGTGCCCCCTATAATGTAAATAAGACCTTGTAAGTATTTTACAGTCATAGCAGCAAAGTACAATCACAGCTGTTGCTATTTACTAAAACCATGTATTCAAGGTGTAACACTGCAGTTGTATTGAGTTATGTCCCTTGTAAAAACTTTTATGTAAATAAATTCATAAATGTATGTTTACTGTTCAGAACTGGAAGCTATTAGTTATTGCATTGTATTTGTACTTTTGGTTCTTGTGCCCTACAACGAATAAACATGCCTGTGAGTTTGTCTGTTTGTCTATCTGACTGTCTTTACGTCGTATGTACAAACAGGAACTATTTCTTCTTGAGATTAGCACGTGAACAATCACATGGTGCGAGTATGACTTTGAGAGTAAACTTGCCCTTTGGTGTAGGTCACAGGGACGAGCACCTGTTTATTATCAGTTAGATCCCTCGACAAGCATGTGATACTGGGGGCATTTAGTTGAAGGTCAGGTCATAGATAAAAGTACTCCCTTAGGCCAAAAATTATTCGTTACTCGTACAAAGTGATCATGAGAAGTGAGAAAACGAAAGCAATGGAGAATTGAGAATTAAAAAATTCAAATTATATTTGGAAATATATTTTGATTAGAAAAGGTGATTAAGATGCAGATTTTAAATTTTAGGGGCAAGACAGAATGTGCAGTCATCTTTTGCATCACAATGGGGAGCAGACGTCGTTACCATGGTTTGCTGTGATGAACTAAACCATGCGTTATTTTAATAAGGGCGACCACTTTTTACATCTAATATACGTGAATACAGTACATGGAAAGTGCAGTGGTTAAGTATATGCTGCTACATACTTAGATCACCAATGATAGGACTGTATGCCACATCAGGTAAGTTGAGATAACCTAGTGTTCTTTGCACCCGGGACACGGTGACACTGACTGCATAACGATAACCTAATATGTGTATACATGTACTTGTACCTCACGCCAGCCAGCCAGTAGCAGAACACGTCGTGTCGTACCAAGAGGTTCACGCACATATCACGCTAACGGACAAGGACATCTCAGGGGATAGTGTAAATTCTGAGAATGGCCGAGTTTAAATGTCTTTCCTGGTTGCTGTTATGTACCTACCTGATCTGTGTTTGTAACTGCCAGGACAGTATTGTGTCTGTCATACAGAGACTAGATCAGTTTCAGGAGGAACTGCTTGATAACAAGGAGGACATTATCCGTATGGAGAAAAGGATACTAAATATCATAGATGTCGCTAAGACATCATTGAGAGCTGAATTGAAGGAAAACATACGGGATCAGGTGAGAGAAGCCATGGCCGAGATTCTACAAGGAGAGTCTCTTCAGGACATGGTGAAAATTCAGATCGTCTCTGAAGTGCGGCATCTGAAACAGGGCTACCATCAGATGAAGAGACAGTTGCGTCATGTCTCAAGATCCCTCAAAGACTTCCAGGACGAGACGGGTGAATTTCATGAATCTGTGCTGAAGAAAGCAGATGTGTGGAATCGAGAAAACTCAAGTGATACCTGTGTCAGAGATAAACATAGACTGGAAATAGAACTACGGATGAGGGACATTTGTGCTGCTGATCTCCAGAAAAAAAATATTGAACGATTCATCGTATTGAACGAGACATGCCAGTCCCAAATATCACAACTGAAAACAGCTCTTGATGAGTCTTCTTTTCCCCCCGCCCCTGTAAATGTTACCTCGACCTCCAGGCCACCTGTGTCGACCACGTCAGTGACGACACCCAGGCCAGAGGAGGAGAAAAGTAGGATCCTTATTGCTCCAGTCTGGTCAACCACCCAGCACCAGTTCCGTCAACTCAACTTTCACAGTAACTCACTTAGTGTCTATCAGTATCACACCATGAGGGATGTGACATGTGTTGCATACATAGCTAAGACAAAGAAACTTCTGATAGGACTAGCCGAGCATCATAAAATAGTGTCATCTACACTGGATACAAGTCACGTGACGGTGCTTAGAGAACATGTACGGACATATGGCATGGCAGGGGATGAAGATCGAGACATTGTATTCCTAGCCACATTTCAACTACAAAGTTCAATCAGCCGCATGTCTTCACAGGGCAAGGACTTTACAACCATCATTAACTTATCCAAGTACGGAAACTTTCCATATCAAATAACTCTTGACACAAAGAGAAAGAGGATCTACTGGTGTAATGGCGGGAAACTGTTCACAGTGACCTATGATGGTCAAGGTCTGGCAACATTAGCCAGAGGAAGTAACATGTATGCTGTAACCCTAGATCAGACAGCTGGTGTGTTGTATTATAACATTGAGAGGAAACTGATAAAAATGACAGTGTCCACTAATGTGAGTACAGAGGTGACCACACTGAGCGCCACCCCCTGGAACATGAGACTGTATAGAGGCACCATCTACTTCAGTGGCTATAGTTCTACTATTGTAGGTGCAGTGGATGTGACATACAACACTGTTGCACACACTCTCCAGTCAATACCCATGAAGGGTGCTACTATTTTACTTATGTGTTTGATTCCCTGAATTCTACAATAGATATTCTACCATGAATATTGAAAATACTCAACTCAGTAGTTTCGAATGACAATAACCAACAGCTGATTTAAACAGCTGATTTGGCGTCCACATCCCTATGGAAACTGATATTTACAGAAGTACTATTTTCTCAGTCATTGTTGGTAGACATTTTATTGTACATTATATTGTACAAATATACGTTACAAAGTGCAGAGGTCCCGTCATTCGAATCACGAGTGGCAATAGATATTGGAAGAAAAACACAATGGAATCCCCGACTGATTGAGTGTATTTCAAGTTTTGGGGACAACAGTTAGCTTAAATTAGGCACCTTTCTATATCCAACTGTGACGTCACATCATTTGCGTCACAAAGAGCGATAATATTTATGCGCTGCGTGGATTAAAACACAGTACATTTGTCAAACTCCTTCCAAGCGCGTGACACCTTACATTGCTGTGAGGAGCATATACGTTTATCTCTTATTCCATCATGAATTTGGAAATTACTCGATTCAGAGGTTGTCATATCACAATAAAGCCCCTCTGATTGAAACAGTCG